TAGGTCCATGAGAATGGAGAGAGAGAAGAATTGCTCTCATTCTGCCCCACAGCTAAGACTAAAATGAGCATTTACCACATATCACAGTTTGTCCAGTACTGCAATCTCCAGCAAGGGAGTAAAGTCAATGCAAGCTGGCAGCATAGCTGTTGATTCCACCTAGCAGTAGCTCTAGGCCTTGTTGGCCACTGAGTGATCTTAGAGAGAAAATCTCCCAATGTTTCTATGCCACTGAGCACACAGAATAGACAGGAAAGCAGGCATCCTCCTTCCTTACCCATCAACAGCTCCTGCAGAGATAAGAGTATGCTCATCTTGAAGCAGCACCACAGTTACACTCTGCTGGAAATCCTTAAAAAGAGAAGAAAAAAGAACTTTATTTTCTTTTAAGGTCAGCGAGATCTTAGTTCAAGGCCATGTGAATGCAGGGAAAACCTCCTCCTAGGCAGGCAGCAGAACACAGAAACAGCAGATGTCATTTAGGACACAACAATGCTTTGAACACTCCCTCCAGTGAAATTGCCACTGAGAGATAAGTGTTTGGGCAGCAGTTTGAGATCACATCTTTCAGCTCACAGATAAGAGAGCTGCCTTCATCCCAAGGCCTAATAGATCAAAAATGATCAGGTCTTACTCCAGTAAGGCAGTAATTTGTCTGGTCAAATTAAGGGGGCAAAAAAAAGACAGAAAAAAATGTACAACTCTCCCTATCTCTCCCCTCAAAAAGGGAATGTTTTCCTCCCTGGGGAGGGGAAAAAAAACCAACATATATGTTCATATAGCATTTGCCCAAAGTTGGCTTTTATGGCCTGTGGGTTGTTAGGCAACTAAACAATGTCTAAAATTAGCCACTGCAAATGACCATGACAAAAAAACCTCATCTCTGCAAAGATAAATGGAAGTATTTACCATGTACAAACCACATATTTCTCACTCTATTTGCTTAGGAAGAATTCTGTGAATAACACTGTCCCCAGAAGAGACATTTTGTTTCTTGCCCAGACACCCACCACCAAGGGAGCAAGTCCTCTCAGGTTCTGCCTCTTCTTCTTTGGTTTGGAAGGAGTCTGCTTGTCAGCCACGTTGTGTGCTCCACTGATTTGATTTACCTGTCTGTAAAAGCCATCTGAAAGAAATCAAAGACATCTCAATTATTAGTTTACATGCAATTTTGCTATCACTTTAATAAAACAGACATCAGCTTGGGATTAGACCTAAAAGGTGGCTTAGTTTAAGCTTGAAAATTATTACTGTATTCTGAAAACAAAAACTAATTACATACAAAACCACTGAGAAGAACACACTGCAAAAACCCAGAGGTCAGTGTAGCATGGACAATGAAACTAAAGCTGATCTAGGCAGGCTGCCTTTGGAAAATGCTACCCCTTGGTCTTTTTTTCACATGAATCCTGATCTGGAGTGTTCAACCCACCTCATCCCAAGCAGAACTGCCTCACTGGAACATGCCCGGTGCTTTTCCACTCTATTTTATATTTTCATGTTCAGCCTTTTGTCTGATACCTTGTGAAATGTACTGCCTTACTAGAGTAAGGGAACTTTTCTATTTCTTTTCCTACAACTTCCACTTCAATCATGTGGAGTCAGTCAACTTTTCCTTCACTGGCCTGTTTGAAAAGCCAGGAAATCTGGGACAGATGGAAGAGCAAGACAGGCAAAGAAACTGCTGTGACAGGGCAGGGAACTGGGAAATGGCGTAAGGGGAAGGGGCTGGAGAAGGAAAAGCTCCAGGAAACAAAGAGGAGCAGAATGAGCTCACATCATCTTCATAGTAAGTGTTCCCACAATATATTCAGTTGCTACCAGCACTCACAAGCTCTTTTTTTCTACACTTTCTACCTTCCTTCCTATGCTGGCAGGAGTCTTTCCAGCTTTTCCTCACCCCTCTGGATGGCTCTGACCTAAGCAATCTCTCCTGTCTCACCTGCTTTTACACTGCCCTAGCAGGATGCATTCTGTACAGCCTCACCTCCTTACCTACACACAGGGAATTATCAAACCAGCCTGTGGTTTGATGCTGCACAGCTGGGACTGCTGCAAAGTGGAGAAATGCATTATACATAGGTAGCAGAGATACCTATTCCATCCCCTTACAGTACCTAAAGCAGTACAGTTATCTGAGAATCCTCTGCTGCCTACATTGTAATCAAAAATATCAGTCCAACCAGGCCATCTGAGCAATCCTTTTACATGAGACACCAAGCTTTTCTGATGCATAACTGAAAGTTTATTTACCTTTCTTGTTGCACCTGGTATCCCAAACCATGATGTTTCCATCTCTCCCTCCAGTACAGAAAACAGCTGAGAGAAAAGAAGTGTTATTAGCTTCCAAAAGCATTTATTTAATTAAGTGAATGCAGTACAATGCCATCAGTGTACCTGTCTCTCCTGTCCCAACACTTGGGATGCCAATCCTGGAAATACAAAACTCAGGCCATTGTTTTGCCATGCTTTTTAATTTGTTCCCTTACTCTTGCTATCCTTTTCTTACTCCCAGTAGAGAAACCAGCTTATGGAAAGCATATTCACACCCTTGGGTATGGAAGCAGATCTTATCTTTGCCCAAGATCAGAAATGTGCAGATTTTAGCATCAGGACTCCATCACGTTCCAGCTAGACAGTTTTGCTTTCCTGGCTGGGTCATGGCTCAGGCCTGTGCTATTGGTACCTGTCAGCTTCCAAAGACCTTTAACCCTTAAAGTACTTTGCCAGAGGTAAAGAAGAAGGAAAAACCAGACAACAGACAATATCAACATTTACCTTTCTCAAACCTAGAAAAAGCAACTGACTTGAGGCTACACTGGTGACCTTTGCATATGCCAAGAAGCTCGCCAGCTCTCACATCCCACACCTTGGCTGTCTGATCTCCTGAAGCAGTGACCTTCAGAGGGAAAAATAAAAAGCTTCAGTCATTTTCTGTACAGTTGCCAAAGCATTAAAAAAAAAAGTCAGATGGCAAAAAACTGCTTACAATTCTGTGTTCTCCCGGCACCCAGGCAAGGTCAAATACAGCATTTGAGTGAGCCTGCCATTCTAAAAAGAAAGCAAAAGCCAAGATTAGTTCAGTGCATTGAAGCATAGTGTTTTGCAAAAGACTAAATGACATCAGACACTGAAATCAGAAATCTTGTCAACAGTTTGCCTTAGGCATGAAAGACAACACAGAAAAATTCATCTACTACTGCTCATTGAAGAGCACATTCATGCTGCTGCTTTGTAAAGAAGACTCAGCAAACTATGTGGAAGAAATAAAGTACTACCTACAATTTATGTTTCAAGGACTTGCAAAAAGCTCTCCTTGATTCCTACAAATCCCACACTTGTCACATCAAATGAAGATCACCTTCTGTAGAACATCTACCTTTAAAGATGAGCTTGCTGGTGGTCTGTGCTTCAGTATCATACAGTCTAACAAACCCTTCTTCATTTGCAACTGCTAGGATGTGCTCCAAATTTGGGGCTGAAAAGAAATTGAAATATATTATGTAGCTAATAAAAAATCATGCCCATGCTCTTTGTGAAAACCATAGGTGCTTTAAATAGGGAATGCGGCAAATATAAAACTGTGAAATAAACAGCATTTACATAGCAATCTAAGTGTTAAAATACAGAAACACTGGCAAGCCTTTTTTCTAGATGCTCCATTCAGGAATGACTATACATGGGCAATCAAATGGCTCCAGAAGCAACTTTTGAGATTACACCTCTTTCACCACCTATAACAGTTTTCCAGTTACAGTTTTCTGTATCTAGAGTACCTATCATCTACAGCCTCCAGCATTTTCTGTGATCTGACCTGGAAAAGCAGGAAGCCTCCTTAGAGAAATGTAAAGTCTCAAGCCAAAACTAGAGCACATCAAATGAAGATGTTTTGCCCTAAAGATCCAGGAGCTTCATTGCTTACTCCCTTCCCCCATCATGGGGAAATGCCGTGTGTACAGCACAGCCTGGTGACATCCATCCATATCTGACGTCTACCTAATGCTCTCCACCCTATTATAGCCTTTATATATTTTGAACAAAGCCCAGTTTTTCACCTATGTAGCCTCACACTGTCACCAAGAGGACACACCTTGAAACACACCCAGATGAAACAGAGAGACACTAAAATAAAAGCTTTACAGTTGCTTCTCGGAGGGAAAACTTTCCATCAGTATCTAGGTGCACCACGATCCAAAGTTTATCACGTGTAGGAGCAAGCACACTGCAGGAGTAAGCTCACTTTAAAACAGAGCCCATACCCCGGCCCCGCAAAAGGGCTTTCAGGAGGTGACTTTACCTGTAGAAAAGGTGCAGCCGAAAGGAGGGACCGGCATTCCCGTCTGCCCGTAGGACAGGTGATCATCTTCTCGGCTGCATTGGTAGCCCTCCAAGAGATGCTGCAGGGGAAGCGCTGAGCACGGACCTACAACGGGACAGACGGACCGTAAGCGCCTCAGACACCGCAGGCTCGGGCGCCACGAGCCGCGAGGCGGCCGCCGCGGCTGTGCGGGCGGCCGGGGATGGATTGGGACGGGAGGGGGTGCGGGAAGGCGCGGTGGCAGGGGCAAGGCGCGGTGGCGGCGGCGACAAGGCGCGGTGGCGGGGCAAGGCGCGGTGCCAGGGACAAGGCGCGGTACTTAGGGGCAAGGCGCGGTGGCGGTGGCAGGGGCATGGCGCGGCACTCAGGGGTTAGGTGCGGTATTCAGGGGCATGGCACGGTACTCAGGGGCAAGGCGCGGTACTCACGGGCGGGCGCGGCGGCGGCGCGGCGGAGCAGCGCGCGGCAGAGCATGGCAACGGGAACACGGCCGGGGCGCACGGCGCCAGCTCCCGCCAAACCTCCAGCCCGCCAAGCCCGCCGCGCGCCCTCATTGGCCAGCGGAGAGCGCGGAGCGCCGCGCCCGCCTCCTCTGATTGGGCAGCGCTGAGAGGAGGGCGGGGCCACCAGGCCGTGCCCGCCGCCCGTTCCCGCGGCCGCGCTGGGCGGGCGGGGTCAGGCGTGCGGTCACGCATGCGCGGGGCCGGTGGCAGCAATGGCGGCCAGCGGCAAGTCCTTCCTGGCCGATGCGGGCTATGGCGAGCAGGAGCTGGATGCCAACTCCGCCCTCATGGAGCTGGACAAAGGTGAGCCCGCGCGGGCCTGGGTAGCGGGGCTGGAGTGGGGGCTTCGCTCGGTACCGCTTTACCCAGGCAGGGCGGGGTGCGAAGGAAGGACCCGGGGCCGGTGGAGGTGCCTGCGGTAATATTCCTGTGTCTCCGTTAGGCCTCAGGTCCGGCAAGCTCGGGGAGCAGTGCGAAGCCGTCGTTCGTTTTCCGAGGCTCTTCCAGAAATACCCGTTCCCCATTCTCATCAACTCGGCGTTCCTAAAGCTGGCCGATGTTTTCAGAGTGGGGTGAGTGCTGCCCGTCTGCTCCTGTCTGTTCCAGTCTGATCCGTGGGAACGCGCCGTGCCTTGGCGTGCCCTGCAGTGGAGGCTGGCGGGTCGTGCTCGCCTGCCAACCCCCCTGTGGTACCCAGTCTGTTGTGGCTGGGCTTCATTGGAACTTGTTTTCCACTTCTTCAGTGGGCTTGAGTGGCTGTGAGTGGTAATGACACAGTTCCTTTCCTGATTTGAGGATTCTCTCCCTGACTGGTTTAAGATCACTGGTTTTAAGTTTGCTCTATAAGCACATCCAAATCGTAACTCCTAAATGGATGGATGATCACATGTGCAAATCTAATCTCTAGTGTGAAAAGTGCATATTATGTGGCTCTCTGCAGATATTTTCTGTATGTATTTTGATGTATTGATTAGTAGTGCTGTATTAACATTTTAATAACATGATAAATGTAGGCTTGTAGTTAAAATGGTAACTTTTGTATTTAAAATAAGAACTATGTAAGTGGGATATATTTTTAAGAAAGGAATGAGGCACTCACACCAGATAGCAGCCACAAGACACCTAAATCTTTAGAGAAAAAGAATTTATTGCCCTCTTATCAGAGGAAACGAACTTCTTCCCACCTCGAAGGCGCTGTTAGGATTAAGAGGAAGAAGTTGACACTGACCAGACTGAATCCTTTGTTTGAATGGAATTTATGCATCGTGTATGAGATGTATGAATATTCAATGGGCTATTGCTTTTAAGGGTTAATCCTCTGTTAACGTGTGTCCTTTTATGGGCTGTGCTGCCCAGAAAAAGGTACCCGGACGTCCGTAATTCTTTGTCTCTATTGTCTCATATTTTCCTAAATCAATGTGTTCAAATTATTATTACTCTAATTGTATTACTGTTTTTATAACCATTTTATTACTATTAAACTTTTAAAATTTTAAAAACAAGTGATTGGCATTTTTCACATCTAATGAAACTTAAAGCTTTTCTAAGTGCCTGCTGTCTAAGTGATGTATATATGATGGAATCAAAGCTGCTTCTTAAAAGCTTACAAAGGTGTATGCTGTTGTTGTGGAATCTTCACTCTTGTCTTCAGGAAGGAAAATAAATTTGCTCAGCACTTGACAGTGGTAATTAAGACTTCTCTGTCTTAGTCTTGAATGTGTTTTTCCAGCAGATTTGGATCCCTGTGTGTGCACAAAACAGGCATTTGCTTACACCCCTCCTCACTAGCATCAGCAGCTTCGTTTCCCTGGAATTGGGCTTTAGTTTGACACTATCTGAACTAGAAAATAAAGCAATAGTATGTTAATAGTCTCTATTTTACTATATCAGTCTGCTCAAATGTTTCTAAAGCATAGATATCTCCTTGTTTTAATTTGCTCCCAAAAGCTGTAGTTAAGTAATTTTGTATTTAAAGTGCTTGAATTTTTGTTACAAAATAGTCTGACAAAGAAACATTTGTATTTTCTAACAGGAACAACTTCCTGAGGCTGTGTGTGCTGAAAGTTACTCAGCAGAGTGAGAAGCACTTGGAGAAGATCCTGAATGTGGATGAATTTGTCAAGAGAGTTTTCTCAGTGATCCATAGCAATGATCCAGTTGCTCGGGCCATTACACTCCGGTGAGTGTGGCAGGAGGGGTCCTCATTTCCTTCAGATCTGGGAATGGTTCTGATTTACTGCCAACCTGTAGGTAACTATCAATGTGCTTGTCTGGAATAACAAGACCAAGTGCAAGGCGTTGCATCTGGGCCAGGGCAGCCCCTGGTGTCACTCCAGGCTGGGGATGAACAGATCAAGAGCAGCTCTGCAGTGAGAGACTTGGGGTGCTGGTGGATGAAAAGCTGGACATGGCCCAGCAATGTTCACTGGCAGCCCAGAGAGCCAAATGTGCTTTGGGCTACATCAAAAGGAGCCTGGGCAGCAGGCCAAGGAAGGGGATTCTGCCTCTCTGCTCCCCTCTGGTGAGACCCCTCCTGCAGTGCCGTGCCCAGCTCTGGGGTCCCCAGCACAGGAAGGACAGGGACCTGTTGGAGAGAGTCCAGAGGAGGCAGCTGAGATTAGAGGGATGGAGCACATCTCCTGTGAGGAAATGCTGAGAGAATTGGGATTGTTCAGCCTGGAGAAGAGAAGGTTTCAGGGTGCTCTAATTGTGGCCTTCCAGTACCTGAAAGGACCCTACAAGAATGATGGAGAGGGACTTTTTACAAGAGTTTGTCGCAACAGGACATGGGGGAATGGATTCAAACTAAAAGAGAGTAGGTTTAGATAAGATGTTGGGAAAAAATTCTGTATTGTGTGTGTGGTGAAACACTGGAACGGGTTGCCCAGAGAAGTTACAGATGCCTCATCCATGAAAGTGTTCAAGGCCAGGCTGGATGGGGCTTTGAGCAACCTGGTGAAGCAGAAGGTGTCCCTGTCTATGGCCACAGGTTTGGAACTGGATGATCTTTAGGGTCCCTTCCAACCAGGCCATTCTGTGAATCTGTGAGTGAAATAAAGGAGGCTTTTTATACATTCCTCATAGAGTTAAAAGCAGAGACATCTGTCTTTGAAAAGCATGAATGATAAGGATTGGTGATAATAAGAACAAGGTTATTAACCACTTATGATGGGGAGAATTTTGTGGGTGGTCCCAGGCAAGACAGAATTTGCAGTGTTGAAATTTTGTGTACACCAGAGAAGAAAACTGAATCTGTAGTGTGCATAGCCCAGACAGTAGCTACATGCAATATATCACATCTTGCCTAGGATATTTTTAGGCCAAGTGAAAGTGCTCCCTTTTGTGTCAGAATAGTTTTTGTTAACTTGAAACCAAAAGTAGTTGATATCTGATCAATAACTTATAAGGAAATCCTGTTAGATTACTGATTGCTTTGAACTTCTGGAAATCAAGTGGGAAAACAAAATTAATCTGTCTTCCATGCCACTGTCCTGCTGGTTTGGTGTCTGTGTCTCTCATGCTATCCAACATGATCCCCTTAACTGCATCTTCCAGCCCCTGTGCAGGTGAATTCAAATGTGAGGAGAGCATTTGTCTTTCTCTTTTTATGTTCTTTTTATACCTCCATCTGTAACTGTTACGGATTTCACTACTGGGGAGGGGAGGCATTAACAGGGCTTTGGTTGATTAGGTCATGTGTCCCCTTCTTTTTTCTTTGAATATTTCATTTTAGATTATGATTTCATGCCCTGGTGTCTCAGAAATCTGTAAATACAAAATGTCTGCATGTTTTTTTGTAGTTTCTGTTCAGTGCTCTAATGTAAGATTGCAGTTGTTGACTGGCATTGAGGGTTATCTTCACAGGCTACTACAAGTCCCAGGAATCCTCTCAGTTTGCATAAGTACTTTAATTACTAAATTCACAGGATGCATCAAATAAAATGTTAAAATAGCTGTTGCTTGAACAGTTTAAATTTAAAATCTTCTGTTGATTTTTTTTGTCCTACTTGAATAGTCAATAAGGAAGAACGTGTTGAAAGACAGAGCTGCTTAAACAAAACTTTGTCTGTGGAATTTTATTGCTAGATAACTGTGTAAATATTTGTACAGAGCTGTAGCTAAAATTACCATAAGTATAAATCCTACATTTATTCTTCTTTTAACTGGATTATGCTAAATATGCCTGAAAGGCATCTTTGAAATATTACTGGCAAAGTATAGGCTACTATTTTAGCAGTTACACAAAATGTAATGCTACTTTTTTCACTAATAACCTTATCTTAGATCAGTGAAAGATGTTGGAAATAAATCATGCCATAGTGAACTTTTAATTTTTAAAGAATTTTGGTAGGTTTCTCACTGTATCAATTTCAAGCTAAAAGGTATCAAAATGTAATTTTTATCAAACCACCAGCACAACCCACACTACAAAATCTGTTACATTTAACTGCATGCTTAATTTCAGCATTTGCTTGTTTCTGTAATAGTCACGAAAGAGCACATATTTATATAAACACAGCCTTTTAACCAGTCTTTTTTACATTTTTATTTGGTTTCATCATTTCTTCATGCTCACTGTTTGTCCTGATTTTGCTGTGATTTATTTCTGCAGGATGTTGGGCAGCATGGCATCTATCATTCCAGAAAGGAAGAATGCCCATCACAGTATTCGCCAGAGTTTGGATTCCCATGACAATGTGGAGGTTGAAGCTGCTATATTTGCTGCTGCCAACTTTTCTGCACAATCTAAGTAAGAACTATTTTTTTCACTTTTTCACATTACAGAGAATGGAAACTCCATTAACACTGACATTCACAAACCTTTCTGTTTTCTGTTGTGCTGTCCTTTATAGCAAACAATTATGTGCAATAACGATGTAAGGAAATCTGAGTATGGGTACAGCAGATTTTTTTCTGAAATGGAAAGCTCATAACTATGAGAACTGGAATAACAGCTTTAATCATGAATTATTTGACAGAAATTATATTAGTAAAATGTAGTGCTGCTTGTCAGTTTTTGAAAGCTTTCATTTTCTCATTTGGTCATGCCTGTGTGCAGGGGTTCTTATTTTCGGCAGGCACTCTTCTGTATAACTTTTAGTTGTTAAAACACAGTGTTTGGTGGTTCAGTCGAATTTTTTTTTTTGTATTTTTAATGACTTAATTTTTTATTGTTCATTTCACCTGATACTTTCTTTTCTCCACAGGGATTTTGCTGTTGGAATATGTAACAAAATCAGCGAGATGATTCAAGGTACATTTGTATGCTAAGTGATAAAGAGGAAAATCCTTCAGAGAAAATAAAGTTCTTTATTATTCATATTTACATATTAGATATCAGAATGCTGTTGCCCTTAGATGATTGCAGTTTTTAAATTAGCTGACCAATAATCTGTCTGGTTATCTTAAATCCTCCTAAAATTTAAGTTTTTGAAGGACCTGTTTGGTACAGAATAAAAGCCCATCTATAGTGTGATGAATAAACTTGCATAGACTCTGATAGGTTGCTTCAGATGAGTTAATTTGTGTGCTACCTGCAGGGAAGCAAGGAGCAGCTTTCTCAAACAGCCATGAAAGTGCTTGATAGTGCTGTCATCTCACACCCAGCTAGAACATGAGTTATTTGAAGCCACTGCAGGTGTTTGCACAATCTCCTTTCAGCAGTGGTAGCAATCCAGACACACTCTGTGCCTCAGAGCTGCCGCAAAAAGCCAGCCCAAGGAGTAACTCTGGCTGTGTTTCTTTCCTTATTGCAGGTTTGGCCACACCTGTGGACCTGAAGCTGAAGTTGATCCCTATTCTGCAGCACATGCACCACGATGCCAGCCTGGCCTCCAGCTCCAGGCAGCTGCTGCAGCAGCTGGTGACATCCTACCCCTCCACCAAGATGGTCATTGTCACCCTGCACACCTTCACTCTGCTTGCTGCTTCTTCTTTGGTTGACATTCCCAAGCAGGTAACTCTTCCTAAGGCATGCCTTCTGTTGAAGCACAAAGTACATTTTAAAAGCACTCAGGTTCTGCCTGCTGATCAAAGCAAACAGTGATGCCTGGGCTGGGCTGGTTGCTCCCGTGTGCTGTCAAGGAAGAATACCCTAAAAGCTGCTGCTACTTTCGTATTTTTTTGCCTTTTCTGGTTCCATTTCCAGGTGACTGTATCAAACACACTACTCCTTTTTTACAGTTCATAACATGTCTTTTACTAAATCAGGGATTCAAATCACAAGCATAGACCAGCATACAGGAAAATAAACATCCTGATTTTTTCAGAAGAGAGTTCAACTGGCCTGTGGAAGCCAGGCTTTACTCTGCACTTCTGTATATTGTCTTGGGTTGTGGACACCCACAAGGCCTTTTGCCTTTCTTTCATGGAAGCACAGGAATATTTCATGCATTTAAATTGTATTTCTTGGAGAATTTTGAGGAATTTCAATCAGTTCCTTAAATTCAGGACTATAAACCAAGTAATGGGAAAGGAGTGATGGAAAAATGCAATGCTTTTTATGTTCTGATAATGAGCTTTGTGGATGTGATTAATAGAGGAGGTCTGAACACAGTGTCACTTGAGACTCATCCAGCTAATCATTATAAAGGAGTCATGAAAATCTGTTTGCTTTCTTTCATCCCTGTACAGCCATGCAAGGCTGGTGTCTGTTAGATAATGGCATTGATCTGTCTGAAACTCTCTGCTGTGGCTCACTTCTCTACTTCAGATGATGCTTCTGATGGTGCTGAACCTAAGTCTGCTGAAGCAGCCTGAGAACACTTAATGTGCTGCTTTTATTTATTTATTTTTAATGGCAGTAAACATGGAGATTTAGGCTGTACTTCTGCAGCACAACAGCCAATACTGCATAAAACTGATGGAGACTAAAAACCATGGCTGGCATGTTCATACTTTCTCAAGTTAGTTTTGGCTCTGTGTGCTCAACATTTCTTCCTGAGTGCTTTAGAAAACACTTCCTTCTAGTAGCATCACTTTTTAACAATGAATTTATTTTCTTGCAGATTCAACTTTTGTTGCAGTACTTGAAAAATGACCCCAGGAAGGCTGTGAAGAGGCTTGCAATCCAGGATCTGAGGTTGCTGGCCAACAAGACACCACATACATGGAGCAGAGAAAATATTCAGGTCGATTAAATATTCATGTTTTTTAAGCCAAAGTTTATTATGAAACTTCCCAAGGAGTTGTAGAATTCTCCCCAGAAGAATGATTTGGGAGGTGGAGGAAGGAGTAACATGCATCTCCATACCCTTAAGTTAGGTTACTCTGCCAAGCAGCCTAGCCAGGCATAAATGAGCAGCTCACAGAATGCCTTCAGTTGGATAAGTTGGCACTCAAGGATTAAAGCTGAAGCATTATTACAAAGGGAAGGGCATGTGCCATGTAGGAAGTCTTTGTACCATGAGGAAGTAGATTTCCATCTGACAAACCCATTCCAGGCAGCAGACATGAGAGCTGCATGTTTTTACACTCATCTTACCACAATGAGTACACACCATCTCTGGTGCAAAACTGCCTCTGGGATTTGTCAAAACATGTCATCCAGCAAGGGGTACCTGAAAGGAAAAATGGGATTTTTGTTTCATTTTGTAGAATTAATGGGGTTTTTGTAATAGTAGCCTTGTGACTCCTGTTGTATCAGTGAGAAGGTGTTTATAGTGCACCTGTGCTATTTGGGGAAATTTGTGTTATGTTGTAGATGTTACTGCTGCCTTCTTTCAATCACAGTTGCATATTAATTTTTTCTCCTTCCCCTTTTTCTGGTAGAAAAGAAATGGAAAATAACTTCAGTTTAGATTAATGGGAAAGTAAATATTTCAAGAACTTAATGACAGGGGGTTACAGCTCTACTTTTTCCTGGGTCATTTTTTCTTTGTTTTTGTTACTCTTGGAAGCTACTTGGATCCTGTCCTGTTGGAGCATAAGGCATCTGGGAGAAAAAACTATGCAGGTTTTTGTTAACAATCATGTGAGAAATAAAGCAGGTTCTGCTCTGTCCCCAGCTCTTGGAGATGATGGTTTGGAGTGTGCAGAGCTTTTTGCTTTAGTGAATTGCTTTTTTCTTCATAATGAATTAACTCCAGAAATTTATTTCCTTTTAGGAATTTTAAGGAATTACGGATTTTTTGTGAAGAAAATGCTGCTCTATCCCATATTTCAATAGTACCTATGTCAGTACAAGTGAGAGGGATTGATAATGTGGCTTTCATTGTCATGTAGTGTGTTGAAGCAGAGTGGGTGTCCTGATGGTTGAAATTCATAGGGAAAGGTTCCACTGATGTCAGAACTAAACCCGTGGCTAGGTGAAAACAAAGCTAATTGTCTGAAGCTTGCAGAAATAGAGTTTTTCTGACTTCTGAAATAACAAGTTGACAGTTTTGTTGGGAAGTTGTTCTCCCTACAATTGGAGATAATATAAACAAATACCATGCTTATACAACAAGGATGGAACAGCCTCTCCTTTTCTCATGGCAAGGCCTGCCTCTTGTACCTTTTTACAAAAAAATATTGGTTAGTTTCTTCAGCATTTTAAGTCTGTCCTGTGTAGGTAGATGGGAAGTTTGGTGTTTGCACTGTGGAGGCTTCACTGATTTCTGGACATCAGCCTCAGAAGGTGTTGCTGCCTGGAGCAGTCCATCCTGCTGACTCCTGTGTGTCCTGGCAGTGTTCAGTCACTGTTTCAGATGTGCCCTGAGAGCTGATCTGACAGCGCTGGAGTAAAGCGTCGGTGTCTTGGGAGACATCAAGACTCATTTTCTACCCCAGAGATTAGATCTTCCCCTGTCTGTTGATGCCATTCTAGTCAGTGGATTAGCAAAATACTAATTGGTACAAATCACAGATATGTTTAGAATTTAACCCTTACACAATACATACACCTGATAAGAACACTGTAGGGTTTTTTTTTTTTTAATGTTCTATGGAACTAATTGTGTTGTTTTTCTTTATTTCGTTACTGGCTCTTAGCATTCAGTTTTGACACACTCTAAAGCGGAATATACTTATATTTTCTATTTATGTCTCATACTACTGTCCCTTCTGTTGACTAAAAAAGCATCCAAAACCAGTGAATGACTAAATTGTGAGCAATGTTGGCATAAGGAATTGAGAACAATGTGCATTTGCAGAGTTATTCAAACCTAAATGTGACAGGACCTGTGAAAAAATCTGGCAAAAGGCACAAAAGTAAGATATGAGTTCTGCTACAAATCAGTTAGAACATAAAATACACTTTAATTTATTTATCAAGAATCTTAAACTCCTGTTGGACACCAATGCTGCTAAAGGAAATTACACTTGAAATCTTGCTCTTCAGAGATGTATATTTATATAAAACCTTGCAGATTGTTACAATGCAAGATAATCAGTATGCCTGAAACTGTCTTAAAATCTTTTATAATATTGGATCAATAAGACCAGATAATATTTTTGCCACTGATTTTTAATTAATGAATGGCTTATAATTGACATTTTCTAGCATATGGAACCCATTATCACTTTTCTACAAGCCACATCCTCAGTCCTCTAAACCAGATGTTGAGGACTTGGCTTTTGATTTTAGTACAGTATTTTTTATGGGAGAATATTGATTCTTAAAACTTCTCAGAGAAGTGCAACTAAATTCTTCATACAGATAGCTCATGCTACTTCTCACCTCTGTATTTTTTTCCTGCTGATTTTTAGGCACTCTGTGAATCTGCTCTAAACACTCCTTATGACAGCTTGAAAATGGGCATGTTATCTGTTCTTTCCACGTTATCGGGGACCATTGCCATTAAACAGTACTTCAGCAGTGCTCCAGGTAAGAAAACTGGATGAGATGGTTACCTCTGGCATTCTAATGGATTGGTTTTCTGCTGCTGATCAGTTTCATCTCAACACTTTGTGGCATTTTCTAAAACTATTTTTGAACTTCAGAACCCTGAGAGTCAGACTGTGTTCATCATGTGTGTAAGCTGAAAATGGGACACTGTATAGTCATGAATAATGATGGTTTTGTTGTGTTTTGTGGGTACTGTGGTATATTAAAAGGGTTTTTGCCTTTGGGTCTTCAAGTTTTCTTCATTTTGTGAAGGAGCATATTGCCTCTCAGGTGGCTGACCTGCATCCTGCTTAAGGTGCTTTGAAACCATGGATTTGCATAATTTTGAGTAGTAGGGAGCTTCATGGTGTAAGAGTGGACTGGCCTGCTACTCTTCCACCTTTGTGGGCTTGACAGTAGTACCAGGTGTCACCAAAATATTGTGACAATATTCTGGAGAAATTTTAGAAAAAGTATACATTTAAAAGTGATTCAAGGTATCTTGTTCTCAAAATTCTGATCACACTCTTTCTTCTTGAAAGCCAGACTGCCCAAATGAGTGCTATGAGCTCAAATACATGGGCTGCAGAAGTGAAAAAAAAATAGTACATCCTAGTACATCCTCTTCAGTCATTCTGGCATGGCTTAATAATTAATAGGCTCGCCAGCTTTTTTTAATCAGACATAATATTTCTTAAGGCAGTATTTCTCTGAGTCCTGAAACAGAACATTTGGAGCTAAAGGTTGATTTCTTATGTGTCTAACGTGTGTAGTGTTCAAGAATGAGAGTCTCTGGGTTTGTCTGAAGAGAGAGCAATATTTTCATCCTATTGTTTAAACATAAGAAAAAAACCTAAATCAATATAATGGTTTTTCAGAAATGTACTTAAAGATCTGTGGTATATTTATGGACTGCAGTTTCATGTTCCATTTGCCTTGCTTTTATTTAGGAGCAGCAGCTACAACTGCCAGGTCATTTGATTTGGTAAAACTAGCACAGGAGTGCTGTTACCATAATAACCGTGGCATTGCAGCCCATGGAGTGAGAATTCTGACCAATATTTCAGCCTCTTGCCAGGAGAAAGGTAAGGGAAAGCAGGGGCACTGCAGTGGCTCTGTTTGCAGCCAGGCTTATGCTCTTAGCACAGATTAACTCGTCCTGTCTGTGAACCTGGCTGTAAGTCTGTCTGATCCCTCAGGCTGGTTAGGGAGAATGGGGACTGTCATCTCGTATGGCCTTATGAATGGTTGGGAAGGTTCCATCTTTGTCTCATTTAGAGAAAATTATTGCCCACAACAGAACTCGTGCTAAATGAATGCTTGTTTTACCTTTGCTGTAAGATTAGTGAATTGTTGGTCAACCTTTGAAAGCCCTTTGCACAGAGCCTGTTGCAAAATAATAACAAGGCATGTAGAAGTCTTAGTCCCAGGATTTATGCATGCTTTGCAAGTGTCAGTGGGGCTGCTGAATAGTTACCCACGACATGGAATGGTAGAATTGTTTCTCATCAAATTAAGGCAAAGCTGAAGTGTTAGGAAGATTCTTAATTGTCATGACTGCAACAGCAGGGCAAGCATTACACCAGCTATGGTCAGAAAACAAACTAACTCTTTTTCCTTTTGTAGATCTTCAGCCTTTGGAGCAAGATGCAGTTTTTGGCTTAGAAGCTCTTCTTGTTCTCTGTAGTCAAGATGACAGCCCAGGAGCTCAGGCAACCTTAAAGGTGACATTACTGTTGTCTTCCCCTTCACAGCTGTAAGTTATTATAATAGCTTGTGTGACAGAGAGGCTGGTGTGCACCAGATCCTTTCTGGTGGAAGCACAACAGACTGGAGGGAAAAGATGATTTTTCTGGCTTGCCCATAATCAGAGTTCAGAGCAGTAGAGAAACTGAGCATGGCCATAGTACAACTCCTCTCAGCTGTGGGATGAGGATTGTTGCAGGTGGCCAGGAGCATTCCTCTCAGAGGAACAGCTGTAATAAAACATGAACATTGGATTGAGCTGTCTCTGGAGGACAAAGAGAATCTTGGAGACAACTTGCTTTTTGGAGATGGAGATGCATTTTTATAAATGATTATTATTTTCCCACTTCAGAAACCATCAGTAATTTTTCTAGTTATTTACCTTTCAGGCTGGTGGCGTGAGACACTATTAATGTTTCTTGAATTTGTGATGTGTTTTAGTGCTGGTAGCTCAGGGACAAAGACTTGGAAAATCTTTTGCAGGGTACACAGTTGTGAAAATACCAGATGAGTGTTTGTGCAGTCCTGCTTGCAGCCAAGCAGCTGTGCCTGCTTTGCTGCTTTGAGGCCATTGTGGTGATGTTCCTGTGGGCTGTGTGAGTTGCAGATCACGCTGACGTGCATGGTGAAGCTGGTGAAGTGCCGCCCCCACCTGAGCCAGTCCGTGGTGGAATCCCTGCTGGCACAGCTGCACAGTGCCCAGGACAATGCCAGGATCCTCATGTGCCACTGCCTGGCAGCCATTGCCATGCAGCTGCCTGTCCTGGCGGATGGCATGCTGGGAGACCTCATGGACCTCTATAAATTAATTGGACAATCTGCCACAGATAAAAAGCAGGAACTCTTGGTAAGACCTCCCCTGATGGATAAAATCTGTATTAACAATTGGGGATGGACTGTATTTTAAAAGGCAGCTAAGGCATTTGTTATGTGTCCGGGTTGATGTGCCAGTCTGTAGCCACTGGATCGATTTTGTTTCAACTTCTGACTCTTTATGTCAGTGTTGAGTGTAGAAATATCTCCTAGATGGAGCTGTCCTAAGCAGTGTATTCCATTAGATTTTCCAGCAGATGGCACTGCTTAGGCAAACCTGGCTATTGAAATTATTGGGGTGTCTCTAAAGTAGTGTTTAAAGGCCAAATGGCAGCTAGCTCCATTTATATAGGGTGCTCTGAGGCAAATGACTTAATATACTGTAAGAGAGAAAAATGCTTTCATCATATATATTTGGAAAAGAATTTGAATTTTAAAAAAGAAATTACAAGATTTCTGTTAATTTACTTGGAGCATTTGAAATATTTCAGCTAAAAGGCAGAGTTGAGATTCTTTAAATGAAAGTTACTTTTATCTACAAGAAATACTTGGATTGCTGTAACTATTTAAAAGATAAATGACTGAGAAGTTTTGCAGTTAAAAAAATATATATATGTCATCTTCTATGTAGTTTTGAGCCCAAAATAAAACAGAAATGGCTTTTTTTTTTCTTCTTTTCATTAGTTACTGAATTATAACTTTCTTTCTCACTCCTCCACTCTCTACTAGGTTTCTCTTGCCACAGTGATATTTGTTTCCAGTCAGAAAGCTTTGTCCACAGAAATCAAAACTGTTATCAAGCAGCAGCTTGAGAATGCCTCCAATGGATGGACAGCCTACAGGATAGCCAGGCAAGCTTCCAGGATGGTAAGTGAAAATACCTGCAGAAAAATGGTTTCTGTGATTGAAGGAATTGCCAGGGAGTTCTTTGAATTGGATAAGGGAATAAGGAAAATTGTAGAACTTGGGAGAAGGAAGTGAATGGGAGCAAAAAATAAAAATCACTTTCCCTTCTAATTCCCTGGAATGCAGATTCAGATATTCAGAATTTGTGACATTCATCCCATCAAAATGACTTTTTACTTATCCTTTTGAAGTATTTGAGAAGGAAGTAAGTGATGCCCTGGCACTTTCTTGAGCACATGCCTAATCTGTATTGTCTGACTGCTCTTCAGAATGTAAAGGTCATCCCGATGTGTGGTTCTCTTTCTTCAATGTGAAGAAAGGAAGAAAAATATACTGTTTCCCTTTTCCCTTAAGTAAATTCACAGTTGGGGTTAGAATTACACAGAAACCCTAGTATGAGATGCTGAGGTAAATTTCCATGGATTTTTCTCATCTTATTGAATTATCTTGTGTAAATAAATACTATACTTTTTTACAGCCTGGTGTTTCTATAAAGTAAGCTCTTGTGCTTTTATTTATTATTAGTATTGCCACAATCAAATAATTGAAAAAGGTTTCAGTATTTCTGTTTGAAAGCTGGCGATGTTCCTGTTTTCTTCCTTGTGTAAGTTCTGTAGAAATCCCCAGCCTTCCTTCACATCCCCTTTCAGAATCATTCTTGTCATTACAGGGCAACCACGACATGGCCAGAGAGCTGTACCAGAGCCTGCTGACCCAGGTGGCCTCAGAGCACTTCTACTTCTGGCTGAACAGCCTGAAGGAGTTCTCGCAGGCCGAGCAGTGCCTGGCAGGGCTGCAGGAGGAGAGCTCCAGCTCCGCGCTCTCCTGCATCGCCGAGGCCCTCAAGTCCTACCACAAAGGGATCGCCTCGCTCACGGTCAGCACACACCTCTGCTGATGCTTCTGCCGCTGCAGGGTGGCTCCTGGGGTTCTGTTGTTAGCTCTCTGAAAAGTTCTGTAATATCTCTGGCATCTGCCAGACTCTGTTTGGTTCTCCTCTGCAGCCATCACACACTGTATCTTGAGAGAACACGTCCTGTAACTCAGCCAAGTGCGATTAGCTAGATTTCTCTTTGCTTTTTCTTCTCCTTCCACCCCTCATTTCCTGCCTTGATCAGATCAAATGAAATGTGACAGATCTTGTTTAATTAAAGTGACAATACTTATAGTTTTCCACTCCTTGATTTGGGTGAATAAAAGGTATTGTAATAGTCAAGCCTGAGAATTGGCCTGAATTGGCTGCTGTCTTCTTGAAATATAGAGAAGGATTCAATTGTCTTCCTCCCTCCTTCTGAGTTCATGTTGCCTTCTATTTGACAATGTGATCTCATGGAATCCTAAAAGCAATCTAGTAAGAAGAGGAAAGACAATTCAGTTTCATCAAATCCAACTGGTACCTACTTTTATGCAAATACTTTCTGCTTCTCTGAAGTAGTAAAAATACCAAGAAGCTGTGTGATGTCTGTGAATGTAAACAAAAAAAAAGCATTAATGATTAGGGACCTTCAGTTCCTGCTGTAAAGTTGCTTCTTAAGCAAAAATGTTCCAGCTTCACACAATAGTTCCTTTCATATTTTAGTTTCCATGAAGCAATCTTTACATACAGTTTCTGTATGCCTTTTCAGTGAAGCTGCATCGTTGCTTTAGTTTCTGGACAGTTAGGGTCATGAACATTCAGACATTAGCATTTAATAAAGTTCATTCAGATATTACTATTTATTAATACAATGTCCCTGAATAAGCTGCAATGACATAATTTTCCACTTTTGTCCTCTGAAAGACCCATTAATCCTGAAGTGTTTGTCTTTAAGTGTTGGCTGAGTGAATCAGGCTTTTAATTCAACACTTCAAGATTTCTCTTACATCAAGAAGACATTGAGAGGAGGACCTCATCTAATTAGATGTTAATATTTAATACAGGCAGGAAAATAACATACTTAAACAGGTTCATACTGTGATCCAGTAATTTAATTACCCCTTCCATGGAGTTTGGGGCTTTTTTTCTGTTGAAGGATTCCTGTCTTCATCTCTTCTGCTGACTTCAGTTCCTGTTGCACATAGTGCTTTTCTGGGCCCAGCGCCCTCCTTATGGGTGGTTGTGGTCCAGAGGAGTGAGTACAGGATTTGTAGGCTAGAGGGGAGGAAACTGAGTTTTACTGCTGGTTGTTGCTGACTTGTTGCATCACTCTGGACAATTTCCCAGCCATGCTTGAGTGTACCAGCTGTAAAAGGAGCCACTGACTGTTTGTCTATAGAACTCAGCCTCTCCAAGGGGAGCAAAGTGCCACAAAATGCAGAGCTGTTTCAGTGCAGAGCATGACTCAGCCCTGCTGGTACCACAGAGCAGTGGTGCATGGGATGAGCCTGGTGTAGCTGCTCCACTCTGTAGCTGGGAAACACCGTGGCAGTAAATCTCTTGCAGATGTTCAGCTAGCCCAGTTTAGCAACGATGAAATGTTCAGACAGCGCCTTGTCGGAAAATTTCTCAATTCCTCCTTGATAAACATAAAACTCTGTCTTGCACTGCAGAGTGTTTTTTCATTGGAGTTAATGCACTTGAGGGAAAAAGTCCCTCTGCTTTATGGATAAGGGGTTCTCCCTTTGGGAGAGCAGGGACTTGTCAGGGAGCACATTGACCATGGTCCCCATCTGTCTTGCTGTGTGCTTGGTTGTAGAGTTAGCAAAGGTTTTGAATGGGTCCTGCTCTTTCTGGCACAGATCCTGTGTGTCATTGGAAGCATGGGCTTATTTTTCCACTGCTGCTAATCTAAAGAAGATACAAAACTTGAGCACAGCGCTTATACAGCCATTGGTTGAAAAGCACCAATTCCAAATATGTCAAGTGGTGGTGTTTGAAGGACTTGGCTGAGCCAAAGAAATACTTCTGTCATTTTCAGAAAGAATTGTAACTCACTCACTGCCCATGGCAGATAAGGTGAATTGCAGTATTAATGAGACAAGCTTGTATTTCCATTTACAAGATTCAAGTCCAATTTGTGCTACTAAAAAGTCTGTATTTTCTGATATGAGTACTTTACTCTTTAAAAGCATGTAGTCTCTGTAGAATAATTACAGTGCAGTATAGCCCTCTTCCACAGAGGCTTTTCTGAAACCATCCTTGCAAAATAAAGTGAACAATTCCCGTTCAAAAGGGGGTTTTTTTTGTGCCCTTGGAGAAGGAAAAGCAAAGTGATAGATAAGAGAGGCTTAATGGTTTAAATATGAAATAGTCTTCCTTTTTCAGTTGAAATCTAGTTCAGTAGTTTAAAGTGGTTGCAGTGGGCTGATATTTCCTCACTTTAGTCAGTAGTGGGCCAGTTCTCAGATGATGTGATGCTTTGTGTGAAACTACTTAGCTGGTTTTCTGGCAGCAAAGAAATGGTTCTTAGTAAGGTTTTGGGGTAGATTATAACTTCTTGCTTTGAGAAGTGACCTGGTATGGAATAAGAAGCAGTGGCAAAGACAGGCATGAGTCCAAGAGGAAGTACTGGTGCTTTGTTTTTGGAGAGGGCTTGTTCTTCTCAAAATCCAACAGTTTAAGAAAAATAAGCAGTGGGTTTTTGGCTTAACTAGTATCTAACCTCGAGTACTGCAGTTTACCCCCTCCTGGGTGTCCTGAGCTGTCATAGGTGCTTCTGCAAGTCAGATAAGCTTTTAGGGAGCAAAGCTTCATAGAACTGTATTTTCTGAACAATAGCAGCTTATCTACCCTCCTGGAATTCTGTTATTTACTGTTCTTAGTTACCACTAGACTGTGTTTCTTGCCTTCATCAAATGCAAGGTTCAGTGCCTTCATCATGTCCCCATCCATTCACAGTTCCAAAAAAATCACCCTTTCCTTGTGCTGGGGGTAACTTGAGCCAATTCCTTCTCTTGTGGCTGATGCAGAGAATCACTTTTTCAGTCCTTGTGTTTCTTGTTTGCCATCCAATTCAGTGTACTTCTTCTTGTGGTAAAGACTATCTGGCCTGATGTCATTTGAAGCCTAATGGCTTGGCCTTGGAAAAAGGAAATATGTGCCCTAGCAGTATTTATTTTAACTGCTTAAGTCATATTTGTTACAAGGGTGACATGCTTGGAATATGACTTAGTAATTATGTAACTTCTATGTCATTTATATTTAGTGTGATTGAAATTGAGCAAACTTGTTAAATGTAATTTTTAAAAAACCAGCTTTTAGAATTGAACTTGAGGGTTCAGTTTTTTCTGATGAGACTGTTCAGTGACACTGCAGTGTAATTTTATAATTTTTGCTTTTGACCTAGTTTGCCAACATTCCTATTACTGTGTTTCAGGCTGCTAGTACACCACTTAATCCTCTGAGCTTTCAGTGTGGATTTGTGAAACTCAGGATTGACCTTCTGCAAGCTTTTTCTCAACTTATTTGTACCTGCAACAGCCTAAAAACGAGTCCACCCCCAGCTATTGCCACAACCATTGCTATGACATCAGGAAATGATCTCCAGAGGTGTGGCCGCATCTCCAACCAGGCATGTGGTCCTATTCCACTCTTGTGCAGTTGTGTTTGTGACTCTGGTAGGAATTCTGCTTCTCAGCAAACATTTTTGAGAAAAGAAATGAAAAGCAGTTGTGAAGTGTGTTTTGGTTTTCACCTGTAGCTCTGAAAACACCTGCCTGTAGCAGGCTGTGTTTTGAAGGTGAATGTGCACGTGTGTTTTCTCCCCCAGTCACACACACAGCTTCCAGGGATGTGCACGTAGCAAGTGACTTGGTACACTCAAACTTGCAGCAAGGCTCTTCACACCTTGCTTTGAAACACCTCAGACACTCTGAGTACACTAAGGAAGAATATTATGTACACCTGAGGATGATCCTGCAACTCCTTTTGCTGGGAGTTGGCAACTGCCTTGGTACCGTACAAAACTTGCCTTGTACCTCCTTGGAACATCAAGGAGGTTTGCTTCTAAATCCAGCCAGTGAGTGGTCACTGAAAGACAGGGCAGTTTGATTTACCAGTGGGGGATGGAAGTTCTTTCTTTTGCTTTCTTTTTAACCCAAGGAGATTTTGTTGGTGCAGGAAATATACCTGTTTAATGTGTGGATAACAGTCTGTCACGTTGGTAATCATTATCTGAGTGAAGAGGCAGGAACTTCATAAACTTTTCTCTAATGTGCCACCTTATTCCTTCAGTATTGTATGTTACAGTGTAGTGGTTTTCTGGATTTGTGGGGTTTTGTTTTGCCTTATTTTGTGGTTTTTCCTAGTAACATTGTCTCTGCAGATGAAACACTCAATGGAGGAATTCCGAAACTTGGCTACACGATATGGAGATCTCTATCAGTCATCTTTTGATGCAGATTCAGCAACTCTAAGGAATGTAGAACTGTATCCTTTAAAAATCCTAGAGTTTGTCCACTTTTATTCTCATGTGCACAGCATAAAGCATAAGAATCCTCTTTTCTTTGAAGACTGCCACAAAGTAATTTCGAAAGTTAATAATGTAAAAATTGGCTGCCAATTGTTTAAAACCTGTTTGAAAATAAACCTTGCCATATTATTGTTTGGAATTACTTGATAAACAAGTTATGACACAAAAATTGGAGCAGCTCATAACTTGGTATTTTTACAGTTCCTGCTCTCTGTTCACTAAATGAGTAATGACTGTAGGATTACTTCACAGAAGCAAGGAAAAGTGCCACCAAATACACAGCATTTCTTGCTTTAGGTGCCAACTTTGAAAGTCTTTTAACTCCTTAGTATTAATATCAGACAACAGCAGAGCTGCTTGTTGATTTCACATGCAATAGAAGCTCTGATTTTGGATCCAGAATCTGCAAGGTAGGTTTGATAGTTAACTGCATACTCCTTTTCTGCTTGTTAATAAATCCTTGGAGCTTTAAACCTAGGAATTCAAGGAATGTTCAGAAAGTTTCTCAGTAGACATTCCTAATTGTATTCTGAGCAGGCTTGAGGATGTGTTGCTGCTGTGGTGTACCTGGCATATATACCTGGAACTCTCTTGGGTTCTGTATTTCATACTGATTTTGCTCTTGAGAGCACTATACTGGAGTTATCTTAAATATAGACTTGAATTTCTGATCTCTCCTTTAGCCACTTATTTCAGTTTGTGTTGTTGTGTGTTAGATCCCATGCCTGTTGCCTGCACTTGTAAGTGCACTTTAGCTTCCTTCAAAGTTGTGAAACACATGCAATAAGATAGTTCAGATTTTTAATGTAAAGCCATCATCTCTGGCTCTTTTTCAAACAATGAACTTAAATCCACTAGAAAAAAATGTTGAAGTACTGATGAATTTAATCACTGTTTAAAACTTCTGGGCTGAGATTAAATGGAAAACACTGTGGATAAAATCTCTAAATCTCTCAGTGATTTTATAGCTGGTAATAAAAGTGAACATCCTACATGACTGTAGTACTCATTAAGAATTAAGCATTGCTTAGAAAGTGTATTAGTCAATGAGATGTTCAAAGGAGAGATTATAAACCTGGAGATTTAGTTTTAATTCTGACTGTCTTTCTTGCTTTGTGTTGTGAGATTTTCATGGCTGTTACAAACACTGCAGGGTTAAAAAACCCAGGGGAAGTAAGTATGCTGAGTCTGTTAGACCTGTCACTGCTTTAGCTGAGAGGGTGGGGACAAGAAGTGGTGAATAAATGGTAGGTAAGAAAGATTTAAATGTAAAGGGCAAGTGTTTTAGTGGAAAAAAAATAAAGAAAGAGTAAACAGTTTGAAAGACATTTCTTAATGGATTTCATGTTGTAATGTCTTGCCACATCTGTTTGGTAGTGTGCCTTCCAGGTTATGATGAGGAAAGTAAGTTAGACATACTGAAAAGTTTCGGTTTTTTCTTTTTTCTTTTTTTTTTTTTTAGTTTCCAGGAATATAGCTCAAATGGAACAGCTCATGTTGAAAGTGAATATGAAAGAAGAATGATGTCTGTGTTTAATCATGTGCTAGAGGAAGTGGAATCCCTCAACAGGAAGTATGCTCCTGTGTCTTACTTGGCAAGTAACAGTTTTAAATGTATATTGTCTAGAGAAAAGGGGCCAAAACCCCAGAACTCCATATATCTGTGGTTGGCAAGAAACTGGGAAGCATTCTTAGTTGATTAACATTACTGACTCAAATGGTCTCTGCAGAGACACGCTTGTTTAACAATACTTCAAAAATCATTTTGCTAAAACATTTGTAGCCTTGCTGGTCTGCTGAAAAGTAATATTTTTAAAATTCCCATCCTAAGAGCACAGCAGGTGCTCACTGCAAGAGCTGTCAGACCCCTCAGCACACTCACATGCAAACCCTGCAGCACATTCTCCTCCTTCCTGTTCTTGCTGTGAAGGAATTGTTCCCCTGCCACCCAGCAGCCTGGCTTTGCTCCCTGAGCTGCTGGGGGTGAGCCCTGTGCTTTGGGAGTGTTGTGTTTCTCTTATCAGTGCAGGGCATCAGGGAGCACAGAGTGAGTGTGCTGGTGCACACAGTGAGCTGATAACACTCTCCTTGCAGGGCTGGTGCCTTTGGCTCTTGCTGCTCTTGAGCCTCCTGAAGCTGAAGTGCATGTTAGTGAGAGCAAGGTGCTTTGGCATGGTTGGCATCTGTTTGCCTGGTTTCTAAATCCAACAGTCCTTGCCAATTCCAAGCAGAACAGAGGAGTAAATCATGTAAACCACAGCAAAGGTAAACCCTGTACACTTAGCTGTGGCTTGCTGCACACCAGGGCAGCTTGGTGACTCCAGTGGCACTGCTTGTGTTCATCTGAGCCAGAGGCATGGTGCAGCAGGGAAAGGGAGAGCAGACAAGAGCCTTAAAACTTAATTATTGCATTAAGGTGTGATAGATGCCAGGCTTTTTGCTTGGAGGGGAGTTGTTTTTTGAGAGTTTGTGTGTAGGAGTGTTTCAAGCAGATCCTGCTCTGTCAACTCTTAACACTAGGACTGGAAAGATCTGTATTTTTCTTTTGCTTGACCTCCTTGTTTTTTTTCCAGAGCAGAATACCTCCTTCAATAAGGGGCAGAACATAAACAGAGAGGCTGAATATAGACATTGTAATCTTAGTGGCTATAATTCTATGACTATTAATATGTTTTTGGACTTGAAATGGAAAGTCCTGCTGTTTCAGTAGCTCAGGTACATGTATTTCTCCTGTGTCATGAATTATATTTTTTCTCAGTTGTTTTGGCTCTTGTTTCTTGCAGCACACAGCTTGTCTGTGCAATGCTGTCATTGCCTTGTTGAAGGTGCCCCTTTCATTTCAAAGGTACTTTTTCCAAAAGCTGCAGTCTACAAGTATTAAGGTAAGTATTGCTCAAATATGGCCTCAAATTTTAGAAAGTCTTTACTTCATGAGAAAAGCCCTACTGAAGGCACAAAGCTTAAGGATTTTTAGTGAAGATACATAACTGCAAATAACATTTGGTTTAATGTGTTAGGAGTAACTTGAATAGCATGTGTGCATGGTTGTTCAGAACCACTAGACTGTCCCTTAGGCAAGTAGGATTCAGTTATTTGATTGCAAAATCTTAAAAGTAAAATGTACCTGGATTTTTTGTTGATTCTGAGTCTGCAAAGCTAAATAATTCTAGTCCTGGAAGGGCAGTTTTTATGGATTTGTATTTGGTTTTTTTCCTTTCCCTTTAAAAAGCAATGTTCACTATCTTGGAAGAAAATTGCCCTATATATCAGCTTACTGACTAAGAATGACTAAATATGACTAAGGTCATAGTTTGGTTGGTTTTTTTTATTTTTTGTTTTACTCAAGTGCTCCTTTTTACTGGGAAAAGTGAAAGCCTTAAGTTTTATTACTTACTCTTATTGCATTTTGCTTTTTTGTTCAGCTTCATTTACCTATGGCTTCTGTGGAAGATTTTTTTCCACATCTTTTGAAGAAGTGAAGTAAATTAAACTGATACAAAGATAATAGCTGGTATTGCTGATGATGTTTATTAAATAATATAGTCATGAGTCTCTGATAATGTCTGTGTTTCCATTTGCTGATTTTTCCTACCCAACCTCTCTTGGAAATTTTCCTATAAGATGGTGTCCTGTTTCATCCTTGAATTTTGTTTGCTTTTCTGGAGGCTTATAATTACATTTTGCTCTGTTTATTGTGTTCCAGCTTGCTCTGTCCCCATCTCCAAGGAACCCAGCAGAGCCTATAGCAGTACAGAACAACCAGCAGCTGGCCCTCAAGGTGGAGGGAGTGGTTCAGCACGGATCCAAACCAGGCCTTTTCCGTAAAATCCAGTCTGTCTGTCTCAATGTCTCTTCAGTGCTGCAGAGCAAATCTGGACAGGACTATAAGGTGTGGATAGAACAGAGCCAGGAGGAGCCTTAAGCTGTTTTGCTGTTCTTTTGTTTGTCTCTGGGTAGCAGAATTCCCAGGATGAGAGGAATGGGAGTGGTTCTGTAATCCTTTCACTCCTGCCAGTTGACATGAAAGCTCTGGCCAGAGCAAGCATAACTAGTGGAGGGGATCTGGGATTTTTAAGTCTGCAAGATGTCAATACCTTTTTGTAACAGCTCTTCTTCCAAACAAAGAGGCTTTGTGATGTTCAGAACAAGTCATTAGGAATCTGCCTGAGATGAGGAAAACAGCCTAGTTATATATCATAGAAAACACCACAGGGAAAAACAAGCAAACCAGGAGTATATTACTCTCTGCCACAGAGTCACTAGAATTTTTTATAGTCATTTTATGGTTCTTTTATTTTGTTTGTGGAAATCATGAGGACAGGCTGTCCAAAACAAATAGCATCTGAGGAGACACATATTAAACTTAACAGTTTTATCAAAGGCTGCATGCCTGAGGTTTAGGTTCTGCTAGCATGTGATACTTAGTGAAAGGCCTGTTTTGGTGGGTTTTGGGGTCAGCTTTTTGTTTGTTTTGTTGTTTGGGGTTTTTTGAGGGAGAATAGGAGAAAAGTCAAATGGCTTGTAAAAGAACAGGGCTAGGAAGTGTGTGATGTTTGACTCACATTACTTTGTGGAAAAGTAGTACTCAGGTGGAAGATTACTTGTTAGCTTGTCAAGCTGTCCCAAGTATGCACATGTATTGGTTTAGGAGAATTGCAAACAGATTTTTCCTTTTTTCTCTGCTCTCCTTCAAGTGAAGACCTGAAAACTTATTTTTGGCAGGTTCATGATGTTTTAACTTTCCATCTGTGTTCTCAGATTCCTCTTGACAGCATGACCAATGAAATGGAGCAGAGGGTGGAACCGCACAATGACTACTTCAGCACCCAGTTCCTGCTCAACTTTGTCATCCTTGGCACCCACAACATCACCGTGGAGTCCTCTGTGATAGACTCAAACGGCATTGTCTGGAAAACTGGGCCTAAAACAACGATTTTTGTGAAGTCTCTGGAGGATCCCTACTCGCAGCAGGTTCGCCTGCAGCAGCAGCAGGGCCCGGCCCCAGCGCAGCAGCAGCAGCAGAGAACGGCGTACTCGCGCTTCTGAGTGCACAGCCTGCCCTGCTGGGGCTGCAGCTATTCTGGACACTTCTTTTTAAAAGCTTTTTTCAAGGTTTTTTATTACAGCCTTCTCCTACAAAGTCTCAGATGCCAGTTTGCTGCTTCCAAATTATCTGGAGTAAATTCGAACTTGATTCAGCAGAGGCAGCTGTTCAAATCTGGAGTTGTGCTCTTACTATAAGGACTTCTACCTGATCTCTAACTTCTGTTTACAAACCTGTTCCAGCAGGCTCCACAAACTGCAGTAGCAGGGGACACTGAACTTGTTGACTGGTACTTTCCATGATGTTTTTTGAAGCACATAGGTTCTAATGTCAGGCTGACAGGACATTGGGAAACACTTCACTTTGGCTGGTTATACAGAAATGAGTGTAATACCAAGTGTGTATCTTTCAGTGTGAAGCAATTGGCAGGAATGTCCAGAAATTCTTTTTCTGACATTTTAATAGCAAGTTCCAGTATTTGGCTGGTGTATGTATGTTATTAAAATTCTTCAGCACTACTTAATGCATGCAGCTGGAAGAAAAAAATCGCAGGTCACTTGTGATACCCAGTCACTGCAGAGGGAGGAGACTGTGTGAGGGGTTGCTGTCTGCAAGGAGCAGAGTTTTACAGGTGGGAATAATCACTGTCTCTCAGATGATATGGAAGATGTTGTTTTTAAATTTTCATGCATCTGTATTTCTGAAACCTTTTGTTTTGTAGGGTTTTTTTAATTTTTTCTTTTTAGAGGGAAATTAAAAGGAATGACAGCTTGCAAGTAAGCAGCTCTGGTTTTTAAAAGGAGTCCTTTCTACCAAAACTTTCTAATCTTATGTGTTCTTTGACCAACTTGCAAAGCTTAATTGTTAATTTTACAAGAACTGTAAATAGAATTTTGCCAATTCTAGAAATTGATCCAGAATAATTTTGGAAATACACTGCTTCATACATCATTTTCACAGTTCCTTTGTGATATAAAAGGCTGAACTGTATCCAGACTCACAGGCAGTGGATCACATAACATGACCTTCACCTGGTCTGCATAAATAGTCTCTGCTTATCACTCTGTAGCAAAGCAGGACCCACTTGAGTGAGAAGGAGGAGGGTTGGCTCTTCTTACATACTTCAGCTTGTTAATCTCTCTTGGAGAAGAAGTTTTTGGTTTTTTTCTCAGCAAAATCCCATGATACTGTTATTTCTTCAATATGATTTCATTCTAGATCTGACTGGAGTTCACAGGTTTTGCTTGCTTCAAGTGCAGAGAATATGATAATGAATTGCTGTAAGCTGAGGCTTCTTTTGCATAGCAGGATGAAGAATTTTTTGCTGTGTTTTCCCATAGTACCTCTTGGCTGGAGACTATCCAAGAAACCAAACAAGCTGGAAGTGATGATCATACCTTGGTCAGGCTGTAATCCTAACTGGAAATGGTAACTGGGAGGCAAGGTTGAAATAGAAGACAGAAAATTGGTGAAAAGTTGAGCAGCATCCTCTGTAAATTATTTTCCATTTGAGCAGGGGACGCAAAGTACCACTGCCTTCCAAGCTGACTGAGCAAAGTGGTGGTTTCTGTCCCACTTTTGTGGTTCCATGCCCATAGTTTGGGGTGGGTGTGTATTCAGCTGTGTGCACACAGGCATATCTGTACCTGTAGCTACAGCTTGTTGAATGGTCCAGAAAGAGGTGCCTGGCCTGCTGCTGTGTGTGCTTTCTGTCAGATTGAAGAGCTGAACTCCTTGTGGTCAGTTGGGTTTTTTTTATTAAAGCCATAGATCAGTTCTTTACCACAAAAACCTCTGTATTTAATGTAAAAAAAAAAAAAAAAACAACAAAGGAGACATAGAGGTCAAAGAGGTTTTTTTATCCTGCATAATGAATGTGTTTTTCTTGCTCTTATTGACCAGTCTGTTGGTGGAAACCTTGGATGGTGCCTTTCCAAAACAACTCAGAAATTACAAGACATTTCCATGCTGGGGAACAAACTTTTCTCATAAGTCATGTGGTGTTCAGAGTGGGAAAGCCCTGCTCTGGCCTGAGGCTCAGCTGTCTGTGAGATTAACCCTACTACAGCTGAAAAAAGTGTTCCTTCTTTAAACACATCATCTGCTCAGCTGATCTGAGAGGCCTCTGGAACTCCAAGAACTTGTATCAGTTTTAAGGCCCAGCAAATAATACTTGAAGTCTGAGAATCTGGATGTTGGGTATGGGAGATGGCAGGGGAAGGAAAATTGCAATTGCTGCTTTATTGGAAATTCCCTTGTATAGGAGGGTGGCTTGCTGTACAAATACCTGTATTTCTAACAAGCTCTGAAGAGTTTCTCATGCTGATTCATTTGCAGGTTAGTTATTTGTGTGTGCTGATCAGGAAAGGCCCTGGACCTATTAGTAAATTCTCCTTCTATGTAAGCACAGTGCTTTATGTTTTGTTGGATTTGTAGTGAGGTAATTTTCTGTGTGGGGAGATTTTTTTGTTTTCTAACACAGTGTATTTTTTATTCCTAATAAGCTGGGATATATAATAAGCTGGTTTCAAACAGAAACCAGGGGTTTTATGGCACACAATATCTCAAAATACCTAAAGAGAAGTGAGGAAGAGTGTTAAAGTTACAGCAATATACAGAAAGCTGCTGTTGGAGCTATCAGCAGTGAATGTGACCCTTCACTATCAGTGGAAGCAGGGAGGTTATTCTTGTTTGAGTCCTGAGTTTCTGGTGCCTGTACTTGAAGATGTGCAACAAAGAATTAGGAAGTCACTTCTAATATATGGACCCAACTTAAATCTCCTCAGTGTTTCTCAGTAAACAAAGCAGTAACCTGATTACTATGCATAGCTGCACACTGATAATGGAAGACAGTTCAGATCTGTTTCACTTACTGGCAGAAGAAAGCAAATACTCAGTGGCTAGACATTGGTCCTGAGACAGCTGCTAAGAATTCAAAGTACAGAAGGGCTTGTGCAGACAGCCACGCCGTGATCTGTTCCTGATCACTGCGATATGCCTGCATCTAGCTTGGATGAATGGCTGGGCTGAGCAGGAGGAGGTGATGGAATGAAGATGCCTGGAGGTGCTGGCAATGTGTGCAGTGCAGCATGAAGACAATAGTTTAGTTCTTGGTGCTTAGGCTCTGTAATTTGACCTGACTTCCCACGGATGGTGGAGCCAGTTACCCTCGGAAGTAGTTGCCTCTCATTCCTGTGAACATGTGCTCAGGCATGTGTCCAGAAAGTGTCATTTCTGGATTCCTGGCTGATCCCTCGCTCCAGGCAATGTGGAACTGAATGCAGGGCAGGGGAGGAATGTCCTCTGTCAGATTCTACCTTCCCCTGGAATTTGGAGTGTAATCTCCTGCTAAGGTCATGCAAGTGATTTTCAGAAGTGATTCCCCAAGTTGCACTCATCGTGGGTATTCATGGAATCTCTATTCATGGAATCTCAGACTTCCTTTCCTGTTTTTGTTTCCTTGGATATGCCCTCATTTTACCCAAGGACTGATATGCCTTAATATAGCTGAAGTTTTTGTATTTCATAGGGGATATATTTTGACTTAAATCCTATGAAACTGTACAGGAATTGCACAGGTCTGGAAGCAAGGTCAATGGTTCTTTAAAGATATGCATAAACTTTTAAGAATTATTTTATGTAGTGATACAACAACTTTAGTTGAAAACCCCACCAACCTACTGAAGGAATTTATAGGATCTGAAGGAATTTTATTGCATTCCTAAAAATATCTTTTGAGTGATATTCAGTGTACAGGTATGCATATAGAGAAAGAGAGATCTCATACAATACAGTATGGAGGCATCTTGCCTTCAGAAAAGCTTCATTTCTTTTCTGGTTTGTTGTCTTTGTTTGCCTTAAGTGCTTGCTGTGTCCTTGATCAGCATATTTACACACATGTGTCCTTTTAGTTCCTGACAGCATCTTCTCTGAACAATCTGTTCCTTTTGTGGCAGTGCAGGTGTACTCAGATGTCTGCAAACCAAGACAGCAGGGGGGAAAACAGGGTAGAGGGGGAAGCTTGGGAGCCCTGCCAGCTCTCAAAGCAGTTCTGGTTTGAGTAAAGCCCAAGAACTGCAAGTTCTCTCTGCTTGACTGCTGCAGTTCTGTGTCCAGCACTATGGGAGCTGCTCTTGCTTCACACACACATAGGTGCCTCCAGGGACACAGCCTGAGATGCTAAGGCAAGAGCAGATTTATCCAGAACCTTGCTATTTTCACCTCCAGAGTAGAGACAGGTTGACAGGTAGAGACAGTGACTGAGACAAAAACACTTCTTGAAATCAAAGGAAAACCCAGAGTTGCATGCTTCTCTAGCCAGGCATGTAATGCAGTGTTGCAGTTACCCTCTCCTCCCCTGTGAATCTTTAAGCCAGGTGCTGTTTTGTCACCAGGAAACAAGCCTGTCTACCTTAGTGACCCCTGATAGTTCCTGAGTTGTCTGTACTCCAAGGAACATCTCTGTGCTCAGACTCACTCCTAAAGTCACAGATTGCTGCATTCCAGTGAGCAGTCATCCCAGGTTGGGCTTCAGAGAGTTGCTCTACTCTGCTGATTGTTAGCTGAGGAATAGGAAGCATTTCTTTGGTGTTCTTATTTGCTTTTAGGATATGGTCTTTATCACTTGCTTGTGCACCTCCAGGTGATGCTGTCAAAATTAAGGACAACTTGGTTGTATGTTAATGAAGTTTGCACTTAGCCTCAGCCTCCTGACCCAAGATCTTAGATCAGCTAAGAGCAGCATTCAGTGAATTTTGAGAGGAAAGTCTTTCTGAGGTCAGAAAGAGCCTGTAACAATGCCTTGAACACTTTCTAGTCACTGAACACCTAAATGTAGTAAAAAGCTGATTTTTCTTTTTACCAGTGAGCCAGTAGAGCAGTCAAGGGGATACTGAAACTGTTCTATTTTATAGATGATAAAAAACTTAGGCTATAGCCATTTCACAGTCTTGAAAATCATCCTTTTCCCCTATAGATAAGGAGTCTTATATTGACATTCCCTCAGATAAGATTGTGGAGTTCTCCAGAAGTCTTTTAAAACTTTGATTACTAAAAGCAATTGTTTGTAAGGGTTTTTTTTAGGGATATCAATGGTGACTACAAAGCTCCAAGGAGGACAGGATAAAATAAGAGACTAGTGTGGGTTGGCTGATTTAAAATACCTTTGCTCAGCATTTTAAGTATGTGGCTTGCTGGCAATCCATTTTATAGAGTCTGTCCTTGCTTCCCAGAAGCTCTAAATTTAGGAATGCAGTTAATGTGAAATTAAGAGCTGTCCGTGCTTAACACACAGCTAGCTATGGAGAAAACCCAAGGAGGAGCAGTTGAGCTGGAAGAGACTGGGATAAATATAAACTGAGTGTGATGTGGATGGATGGACTCTGCCAAACACGGTGGGTGAATCTCCAGGGTACAGTTTCATGCTTCACTTGACACCTTCTAGGTGTGTGGCAGTGCTGAAAAGGGACTCTCTCTCTTGTGCTTATTCCTGACTCCAGCTTTGCTCTTTGGATCACATCACAAGTTTTTCCACTTAAAACAATTCCAGTTGGCTTGAGTGGTTTTTTCTGCTGGTTTGTAGAGTGACTTGGCCAATGCAGTGAGTACCAGACAGGTGCTGGGGAAGAGAGTGGTGTATCCTGGAGTTACTGGTGAACTGCTGGCCTGGCTGCCTGTGCACCTGCAGTGTATTTCTGTGTTCAGCAGGAGTCTGGAGGAAACTGTGAGTTCATGTGCACCTGAACTCTGGCTTTTGTGCTTTTGTGCATGGGCACTGGAGAGGGCAGAGAGCACTGCAGAGCTCCCAGCCAGCTGCCCGGCCTTGCTGCCGCTCTGAGTCACTGCCCAGAGGTGACACAAGGACAGGAAGGAAGGAGGGAATGCCCTTTGGAGCAGTGTGAGTGTCAGTCCCTGCTCTGCAGCAGCTGAGGATGCCTGAGTGTGTCCTGATGTGCCAGCAGTGCATGAGGGCAGCAGCTCTCAGTGAGGAACCACGACGGCTTCTGACTCTCCTTGTTTCACAAAGTCCCACGGTGTGCAGAGGCCTGATTGCAGGTTATACCAGTGATATTCCTACAGGAACACTTACAAATCCTGGCTAAAGCTAGGCTTTTATCCCTTAGCCTGAGCTTCACTAGTTCCATGGATATGTGTTTGCAGAAATTGGTCTGTGCAAATGACAGTGTCCAAACCAGATCAGTTGTATTTGGAGGGAGATCAGCTCACTGCTTACATACATCAGCTTTACTGATGAGTAGCAATAATTAGCTGTTTGTGGAGGGCTCCACTGTTTTGTGGAGGGCTATTTTTTCGTTTGCAGAAATTGGTCTGTGCAAATGACAGTGTCCAAACCAGATCACTGAGTGAAGTGGATGGAGACCTCTCAGAGCTGGTCACCCCCTGCAGACACAGGGGAAATTTCAGCAGTTGTAATAATTGACAAATGTCTGACCTCTTCAGCAGGTCTCTCCCTCATTCCACAAGGGAGGAGCAAAAGCAATTGTAATTAATTAGGCTCATTACTGCTACTCATCAGTGAAGGTGATGTATGTAAGCAGTGAGCTGATCCTCCCTCCAAAGTACAAACTCTAATAGCTAATTTCCTTTATCTGTCACCTGTACTGAACTGATGTGCATTTTCACCCTTGTAGAGGAAAAGGTTTTCCTGACAGCAGTCTGTGCCATGTGAGAGAGATGCAGGAGATTTCCTTGATTCTCCTTGTTGTAAGGGTTTAAGTTTTAGAGTGGACCAAGTCTGTGAGTTGGGTAGGAGTTTCTGAGAGTATAATCCTGACTGCATCTGGGTAGTAGTAGCCACATCACAGATCCACTGGAGAGA